TCAAGCAAGTTCGGTATCTACAATCCCTTGCAACAGAATAATGTTCTACAGCTGTGAAATCATTTGGTATTCACTTAGGATAAGGTGAAAGAGCGTGTACCTGTTTTTGTTCATTGCAATGAGAACACCAGAATGCTCCATACATCTTAGCACCTATAGAGTGCAAATGTTTAGCCAGTGCAATAGCAAATGGGGATGATTCGGTTGTTATCTCTGTTTCATATGGTTCTAATACGAAATCATCTGTGCTGCATAAAATGAACAGGAGAATCTTAAAGTCATTTCCAATGGTATCAAAGAAAAGGAAACACATAGTAAGTTCACATAGTGTACTAAGACAACAAAATAGAGCAAAGAAACAAAGCAATTTAAGGAGCAGAATATTTGAGACATCAATAAGGAAGCCTCACCCTTTCAATTGAGTAGTAGCAGAATTGTATGAGTTTGTCAAAGCAAGAGCTATAATGACAGCTACAGCTAACTGAATACCAGCAAACTTCTGGATACGTTCAAAACCAAAGTCCTGGAAGTTTAATAGTGATCATGGTTACTTAACTGGACTACATGGTTACAGGTTCAAATGAAGAACGCACAGTTTTATCAGTGACATACCTTTACTCTGATGAAGAGTAGAGTGAACGAGAGAAATGCTGACAGCAAACAGTACGAACAAGATACCCCAACAAATTTAGTGCTTAGAATATAAAGAAAATAAGCACTCGCAGTCGCCATAGAAGTAGCAACCAGAAGCAATATTAATCTAATATCCAGGTCATCCGATCCCGGGAGCAAGTCCTTTCCATTTTCTTGCAGAGAAAGTGCAGTAACTAAACCATAAGTCACCAGACCAACTAAGGGAAGAGGTATCCCTGTAAAATTGAAGAGAGACCAATCGTTAAGTACTTAAATGAAAGGGATAGCACTGAGCATTTGTGACTACGTATTTTATCAAATTAGACTACTGTAGTTTAGTAAAATCAATCATATAGTTGATCTGCAAAAGGAGCTACCATAATCAACCACTACTTGGAACTACTCCTAGTTCACAAAAAACATTTGGAACTAAAATGCAGATGCAGGAGAACCATAATGAACCACATGGAACTGGTTCACAAAAAAAAAAAAGGAACTAAAATGGAGCTAACTTTGTATACACAGTCCTATATACTGAGGAGCAAAGCACAACGAGATTGTTTATACAAATCGGTCTAAATCTCATGAGCCTAATGCCCCAGTTTAGTGCACATTTACCAATAACCTGCCAGCAACAACACCAAGAGATTACCAAAGACGACGGAGTAGTCGCTGTCGAGGACGTCGCCGCAGCCTGCGCCAGTGATGGGACAGAACGCCTCGGAGCCCGTGAGCTTGAGGTAAGTGAGGTAGCCAGTCTCCAGGAACCCCAGCCCAGCGACACCTGCAGACCAGGTGCTCGTGGAAATGCCCAGCAGAGACGAAGGGGCGATCTTGGGGGTTTCTCCGGCGGCGGGGCGGGAGGGCGACGGAGGTCTCCTGCTCCTGGGAAGAAGACTCCGCGCAGCACCTAAAGCGCGCGGCTCTCTGCGCGAAGATGGACAACACGAAAATGAATAGCACCACGGAATTGTCGAACCAAACAGGAAGACGAAAGGGGGTGAAGCTAGGAGGGCGGAGGGGAGGGGCCATGGGCCTGTACCTTGATGTGAGAGGAAGCAGAGGACGTAGTGGCGACGGCGAAGCGAGTTGGGGATGGGAAGAAGGAGATGGCGAGGGCTGCAGAGATGGTCGCCATGGGCGGAGGTGAGTGGTGATCGGTGAGAGGCGAGGCGAGCTGACTCCACGCCTCCACCTCAGAGCAACGCTCCGAGAGCTCTCTAGTCCACATGGATGGGTAATGATGGGCCTGCCTACCTTCCAGTGGGCCTATCGCTTGATCCATAAACAGACTGGCCCACAAGTACAGTACACAATTCCAAGGCAAGCATGGTTCAATCTCTACCTATATCTCTATTTAGAGAGTTATATACTTGTACCATGGATATTCTTTGTAAATATATATCTCTTGTGTCTCTAATGAACTCTCTAAATTTTGTTTTCCATATACTCTAATAGCTTATCATAAAAGAACTATTATTTCTAGCTTTACCAGCTCCAGCTCCGGCTCCTTCATGCACTATAAAAAAAACTGAAAGCTATGCTAAACGGGACCTAATGGATGATATACATGTTCTCGTAGAGCCCTGTACACGTTTTTTTTGAAACAAAGCTGTACAAGTATTTGAGCATTTGTATTTATAGAATTTACTTAGTTATATAATTCCATACATAATTAATTAAGAATTTGGTGGCAAGATGGCCAAGGCCAATAGACCAATCCACGACGGGACTGGGGGACTCTCTGAAGAGCTGAGAGCTGAGAGCGGTGCCTCTCCGTGTGGCCGCTGGCCGCCATGGCGGCCCTTCGCGTCCCTGCCGGTCTTCGACGACGCCGCGGTCTCAGACTTCGCCAGGATCTTGCCATGCCTGCTCTCCACCCTCCTGCTGGCTGGCTTAGCTCTTAGCACTGCTCGCCATCTCCACTTGTAAGTCTGCAGTTTGAACTCCCTTCTTCAGTTCGTTCATCAGCCATGGCCCTGTCTGGGCTCTCTTTTGCTACGGGCCTTAAGGTCCAAGATGACATCGGCCGTCTTCTGGTTTTGCCTGTTTCTCACCCTGTTCTTGGTCCTGCTTCCTTTGCGTTGGTTGTTGCTTTTGGGACGTGCAAGTTTCATTTGGATTCCTCCTCTGTGAGCTCCATCCTCCAGGCCACCATTGGCGGCTCGGCCCCGCATTTTCATGTTTCCCTCCTGCATGATCGCACCATCGAGTTCTTGGTTTCTTCCAAGAGGGTTGGGCTTTACATCTCTGGATTGCGTTCCTTCTCCTGCCAGCAATACTGCCTCACCTTCCATCTTTGGGGTGGCGGCGGTCCTAACTGGAGAAGGGAGATTGAGCTTTTCCAGGAGGAAGAAGCGCGTACTTGGCAGCCTGCCAACCAGCCCCGTGTTTCTGTGTTCAATCGCTTGGGCAAATCCTTTGCTGATGCAGTTAGAACCCCAGCTCCTCCGCTTTCTGGTGCCAATAGTACCCCTCTTGGAGCCCCTAACCATGGAACACCCGCTCATCCAGCTGGTTCTAATCGTCGTTCTGTCTTTCACCGTCTTCAACCTCCGTCTGGAGCTCGTGTTCATGGCGTCCCGACCGCGCAATCTTCCAGAGATCGCTTTGGGGACAGGTCCCTGCTTCCATTCTGCCAACGCTGCATGTCTTCGGGCCATCACAGGGCTGACTGTCGTAGTCCAATCAGGTGCCATTCTTGTTTTAAATGGGGACATACTGCAGTAAATTACCTTGTGGGGAAGCCGGTCAAACCGCGACATCTTAGGGCCCTTTGAACGTAGGATTGAGAAATACATGAATAGAAAAAAACACAGGAATATGATAGAAATGTATATGGAAAATAGAGGAATGAAAAACGTAGGAATTTTATTGGAATGAGTGTTTGGATGAGTATAGGAAAAATATAGGAAACAACAGTACACGTACTGGCTTCTTGAGGTAAGCTAACTAATTACATGTGATCTAGTACTACACTATTGTATCCGATCAGTATCGTTAATGTGTTCCTTCAGTCAAATCCTCTCTCTACCTCGATCCTAGGCACGGTGTGATGAAAAAATGAGATTGGAGTGGATGCTCTGTTTCCCATGTTTCACCAGTGAAATGTCTTCCAAAGGAATTTTTCCTCCGAAGTTCCTATGGCTCAATCCTCCCTACCAAAGGGCACTACAGTGCCAATTCCTATAGGAATCAAAATCCTATATTTTTCCTACAAACTTTCTACGTTCCAAATGGGGCCTTACTGACAGCAGTAAAAAGAGAGCGGCTCCATTCGGTTGGTTCAACCCGGCGGCCGCCGGGCCGTCTTCATCGAGCCCGCTGGTTTTTGGGTCCTTTGCTAAAATGGCTCGATCCCTGGCCACTCATTCCCTTGGGCTGCCACGGGAGCTACGCCGGTGATTAATGCGGTGCACCTGGCCAAGCCCAATACTGTTCAGTCTAATGTAACTCGAGACCCCTTTCTCTTTTACTCCAACTTGACCCTTCCACTTTCCCTGCCCCTCCCCCAACGAGCTCCCCTGAAAACCCCACCGTGGAGCTACAATGCTCACCTCCGCTGCGCGATGGCGTACCAGCGCGCCGACCCCTGACCTTTCATCCCTGACAGCTTCCAGTGGAATGACATCCCTGGCAGGGCGTTCATGAGCAGGGCGGTGGCTCCGATGAGGCCACAAGCAAACAACGAGGACTTGGCCATCGTCAGCTTTGATCCTCTGCCGGGTAATCAGCTCAACTTTGCTGTGGTCAGAAACATAGTTAGAGATTTTATGGATGGTCGTCGTGTGAATCATCGGGTTACTTTTTTTTTTAGAAGTGGTAAAACTTTACGTTTTTAGAAAGAAAATATTAGGCTCTTGGAGATGCTCTGATACTGTACAAAACTTTCTGCTTGGATCTTCGATCACATGGTCAATCAGAACCACAAAGGCTGACGGCACACCCAAATCTTGGTCACTGCATCTTTAGTATAATTAAAAATAAACAGAACCATGTTTGTGCCACTCTGTCAATTGTGGTTTGGATATTTGCCGTACGAGTGGCAAGAGTCTAAAATATTGCAAAAGCAATGGTAACTAAAGAAAGGGCGAATCGAAATGGTAACACAGGCCTAATTTTTCCCAAGTAGTAAAGAGATTGGTACATGCACACCCTATGTTCAACAAAGGTATTCATGGAAGTTTAGCTACAACTGCACAAGTGAGTTCCTCAATAAAAATTCTGAAATACGTCTACAGCCGCCGTTGTGGTCAAATCTTGCAACACAAGAAAAAATCTGAACAAGTCGATTGCTTTGCAGCACTGACTAAAACCAGAAAAGTCTGCCTAGTTTGTTTCAAGTGACAACCTCTGCTTCACTATGATTAAAACAACGAGGACAGTAGAGGTAGGCTTCTTCCATCAGCAAGATCTGCAGCTGGCTCTACCGTTGCAGCAGCGTCCTCGTCCTCAGTAGATTCACATGGTAGCTTGTCATACATGGTGTCCATGATCACTTTACCCAGAACAAATCGGACCTCGGCAGGATCCCCATGTTTCAGCGACCAGTAATCAATCCCACGCATCCCTCTTCTCTCGTCATATGAAGGTAGGTCAGAAGCAAGGCCCTCAAATATGACTGCCAACCTTTTCCTATCATTGCTAGATGTGAATACCTGGAAACAAACACCAGTACGTATATGATCTACCGTACAAAATCACAATTAACAGAGAAGATGTGGTGAAATTGAACTAGCACAGATCATGGGGTGGCATATACAAAGAGATACTTACTACTCCTGAAAATTCCGGAGGTTCGGAGAATCTGGCTAGAGATTGCTCCAGACCATGTAGACATGTCAATGTATCTACGGAAGAATTGACTAGTGATGCTAGATGTGATGTTTGTTCCATAAGATCATCCAATTTGGTCCGAGAAGGCCCCATTGTCTCTGGGGCAAATGGAACTTCGGGTCCGACTTCTTCTTCCAGAAATTTGACTGTGGTTTCCCATGTTCCAAAATACAACACTGCAGCAAAAGCTCTTATTACCAGCGTGTCTTGTGGAGATATAACCAATGTACTGTGAAATACCAACAGTGCCAGCCTGCAGAAAAATACGAAATGTCATGGGTGTGGCAGACAAAAACGCTCATACTGATTGCGATGTTACTTGGTTACCACATAAACTGAATGAGTGAAACAGTTAGCCTGTTTGATCAAATAAGAGGATTGATAGGCACAAAAGAGGAACACTGACTGAAAGTGGTATGGAATAGGACTATAGGAGCATGTCAGTTTAGAAATATGAATAAACTGTGTGCCCAGGCCACCATGGGAAAATCGTAAGGTACTTCAGAGTACACAGGCATTCTCCACAAAAACACAAGGTAAAGTCTGATACAGCTGCAAAGACATGCATATGTTTTAAAGGTAGTCTAGAAATCAAGGAGATATTCGTTGCATGAGCATGAGCTGATGATACAAATCAGAACAACCACTGGACTACATAAATAAACACATCCAAATCCACTGGAACAGTCCCTAAAGAATAACTTAAATCAGTGTCACTAGTTGTCAACAGCAAGATTAACTTAAATCAATGTCATTTCATTGCTTTTTGGTAATGAAATTCGGTTTTACCGTGGTTGAAAAAATATCAAGAGCAAGATTACAGAAATAAAGGAACCAATATATGAGCCAGTTCAATGGAACCCAATAAGCTAAATTGCCGGTTTAGCAAGTTGCATAGGCTCATGATTTCCTGGGGAATATGCATTTAATAACTAAGTACAGCAATAAAAATGTTATGAGCCAAGTAGGTATTTAAGGTTTCTTACCACAAAGAGCTATGGCATGGCCGGTCTGCAGAGAGTAACCTATCAAGATTAGCCAGTAGTTTCTGCAGATGTGAAGTCAACAGCATAAGATTACATAATAAGCCTTAAGTTTATTGTCACATTAAACTAACCTGAAAGGTAACCATAGAACCTCTACTTATACATGGCATTATGGCAATAAAAAATCTAAAAGGGTATCAATAGGAAGTAAACTCTGAAGCAACATAGGGCCTGCTTGGTTCCCAGGCAAGCTGGCCTCACCGCGCTGGCTCAGGCAAGGCAAACCTTGCCAAACCAGGCGAGCCGTTTTGGCTCACTCGCGGTGGCAAGGAAAATGACTCACAAAGCTAGCCAACACAGGCTCCAAGGTGATCGAGCAAGCCAACCAAACGCATCGCCAGCTCTAGATCCTTGCTCTGCAAGGCAAGGCTAACCTTGCTGGAGAAACCAAGCACGCCCATAAATATCATATTGTTCATAAACCGTACAGAAACTATAGACCATAATAAAATTTTATAATCACGAAAATCTTCGAACAGTAGGTCAAGAAAAAGATAACAAACCCTTTAGTTCAGACTGCAAGATTAGGACACCCTATGCTTACCCAAAAAAAAGGAACACTTTACCCACTGTACACCACAAAAAGAATGCAGTATTTCCGTAATTTCTTTTTAAATAAGTACCAAACAAAAAATGATCTCTAAAGCAAGGTGAAACATTTTCAGAGTTACTCACCATAAGCATCAGATGTCTATCACTTGAACCACCCTTCATCTGATCAGACAAATATGCTGCCTAAAACACAAATTGGCATTCAATGTTGATGAGTGGGCTGAAATGTTGGCAGGGCCACAACAAGGAATGTACCTTTTTAGCAACAGGCATTGTTAAAATTACCTGGAAAGGCAGTAAAATATCAAGTAGTCCATATTTTCTAAGCAACCTAACAGAAGGTGCTGCTGCCCCATAAGACATTATATAATTCATTTCCATCATCAACCTTGCCTACACAGTAAATGAGGCAAAAAGCAGAACTAAGAAGAAAACCATATGAGAACGTGCATACAATTGTTAGTTTATTTTCAGAGGTACCAAGAAAGTAAACCTTGTCGATATTAATTATAGACGAAGAAAGATCACGTATCGCATTAGAAGTTTCACTGGAAAACTGGAAACCAAGGCGAGCAGCAATTCTGAAGCCACGTAAAATCCTTGCTGAAATATACTGATATAAATTTTACTCGGCGAGATAAAGCAATTTCAATAAAACCATTCCTCAAACACCTACCGGGGTCCTCCATGAAAGAAATATGAGCAGGAATCACTGTACACACCTGATTTCCATTAAGAAGTTAGCAAATAGAAAAGAAAGAGGAAGAGAAAACCAGGACACTGATGAACCTATGCTTAAATAAAGATGGAGCTCAGTGAGTGTTACTTTGTTTTTTCTCATATCCCTTACTCCATTCACGTAATCATAAATTTTGAAGTTCATCGGGTTAAAGAAAAGACTGTCAAACAAGTATTACAACATTGTTATGAAATATCTCCTGTGATACATAAAAAAAACAAGACCATATGTTGATGATTTGAAGCACTAGAATTACTGTAGAGTTTCAAAGATTACCCATTTATTGTGAAGTCTCTTCTCATAGAATCCTTCCAGCGAAGAATATCCCTAACATCAGAGCCATTCAACTCTTCCACATAATCTACTGCTTCACTTCTATTCCCATACTTAGCAACTGTTCGAAAGCTCGAAATCTGTTAGAACAAATAAAAAACAGTGAGTGCATTGCTAGAAAACTCATGTGGCCATGATGATGATATGAAGAACAAACCTCAATTACAGAGTCACGCATTTTAAGAAGACATATTGGAAAGCGTTTGCCTACAATCATAGATCGCCTGAATATATTTTTCTTAAGCTGTAACAGACAGAAATATGTCAATGGAATAAGGACATCAAAACTTTCAGGAAAAGAAAAAATAATCATGATGTTTGAATGGACCAAAACCTGTTCGAGACTTGCAGTGGTAATCACGTCAAAATCTTTAGGTACCCTTTTGAGTAGCAAATCTCTCACACACCCCCCAACAAGGTAAGCTTGAAAACCTGTAACAAACTTTTGCCTTGAATACTGCATACATTCTTATCCGCATTCAACTAGCAAAAACAATATTTTATGAGTTAAATAAGAAAAGTAACGCCCTCACAAGAAAAAACTCGATTAGCCAGAAGAACTCAACCTTGCTGGCCAAGAAAAATCCCCGGACCCTGGCTTTGTCGGCGAGGGGATTTTTTTTATAACGAGCCTAAATTCACTCCCACGAGGAGTTGAACCTAGGACTTGGAGGTGCTACTAAAGCACCACTACACTACAGGCTCGGAGTCCAGCAAAAAACAAGAAGGCCGAGACAGAGTTTCAAAAACATCTTATGGAAATTTTGGAACACTTGTTGCCTTCATCTCAACCATAGATTTCAAATCAATGGATATAAATGAATGGATGGTAATAACGACTGAATTGTGATGAAACAAGATGTAATAAAATGCATTGTAGGGACATGTAATACAGGGTTGCCTCCTTTTATTTTCCCTTGTGATGTTGGAGTTGTTCTTATGTACTTAAAAAACAGAAAACAGAACTAAATAAAAACTAGCATGTTGCCAGATTTCACCAATTCATAATCTATGCAATATAGTACACCCTCTGTACACTTTCATAAATTGAACTTTTTTTTGCTGCAAGTTTCCTTGAAATACTCCCTCTGGTTCCAATCCCGCTGGACTTGTGCACGGGAATTTAAGGTAGATTGTAGAAATTCTGGTACCCATCAATGATTAGCATAATTGCGGTAGCTAGTACTCCCTCCGCCCAAAATAAGTGTTGTTCTCGCTTCTCGAGTAGTCAAACACTTTTAACTTTGACCAAATATATGCAAGAAAATATTCATATTTATAGTACATAATTAGTATCATTGGATAGATCGTTGAATTTATTTTCATAATAAACTTATTTGGAGATACAAATGTTGTTAATATTTTCTACAAATATAGTCAAACTTAAGAAAGTTTGACCGGCACGAATACCATAGCGACACTTATTTTGGGACGGAGGGAGAACTTGGCATGCGTGAAACATTTATATGGTTGTACTTAAATAAGCGCAAAATAGGGAAGTGAATGGTAAATTGTGTCTTGAAGTTGTAAATGGATTTATATTTGTTGAATTGGAAGTATTGCTGGATGGACCTATATTATGACTTTATGAGCTAAAGAATGTATATTGTTACTATTTGCAAAATTCTAACCATAGGTCGTATCTCAGATACGTATCCAGTTGTACCACTTCTGTATCATGGCCTTGTGTTTGATCCATGCAGGATTTGGAGTTTGTAAAAAAAAATAAAGTTATTTAGATATATTTGTTTGATCCAAATAATAATAAATTGCTCAACCAAATATCTTCAATGTGCCCACAGCTCCAGCACCAAGATTTTCTGGAGCTAGAGTTGTGCAAACAGGCCCTAAAATCATATATAACAAGGCTAGATGTTGGTCAAAAGTTACCAAGATTGAATTCTGAAAGGTGTGTGCACCTTACATTCACGGATCAAAGGAGTGTTAAGAAGAAAATGCATGGTCAAGAGAATAGTTATGACATGTTAAACAGGCCCTAAACTCATATATAATAAGCCTAGATGTTGGTCAAAAGTTACCAAGATTGAATTCTGAAAGGTGTGTGCACCTTACATTCATGGATCAAAGGAGTACTGAGAAGAAAATGCATGGTCAAGAGAATAGTTATGACATGTTGAAACTATTCACTCACAAATGGAAACGGTCAACATAATTGTTATGTACCTTCTCGTCTGAGCTTCTTTAAAACTGCCCATGCATCCGTATGTATAGCATCTGGTTTAATGCCAACAGCCCTTGAGTCAAAATGCCTCCATGATGAAGGATCCACGAATCCTGAACAAATTGAAACCTTTCAGCTTCACCAAACAAATCAGCGTAGCAACATTGTAGAACTATCTTTCGATCACAAAACTTTACATGCACCCTTTACTTAAAAAGAGCAATTGTTACTGAACAGAGTCATACACACCGGTAGCACTATATCCACGACATAGGACGCAAACGCAAGTGACAGATATGATTTACACAGAGGGGCAGAAGAATATGCCCCCTGTAGCCCGAGAAACGCAAGTGACAGATATGATTTACACAGGGGAGCGCAAGAATATGCCCCTGTAGGCTGTAGCTAGTGCAGTGCCAATGAAGAAGTATCACCTGGCCTGAGGTGCCTTGGCGCGGAGGAGCCACCACCTTTCGGCTTCAGGGGACCGGTGCCGTCGCCTCCCTTCTTCGTGCTGTACTGCCGCACCTGAGAGAAACACGACGGCGTCAGCAGAAAGAAGAGTAGCGCTTCGATCAAGCGCCAGGCCGGCGTGGTGCTCGACGAAATGCTTGAGAGACGGTGCGTGGCAGAGAGGCGGCACGGCGACTGACCAGGAAACTGGAGGCAGCCGAGCGGAGGAGGGAGAGGAGGGGAGGCGGGGAAGAGGGCGACGGCGACGGGTCAGCGCGCCGACGCGGCGGCGTCATGACATGGGCGCGGCGCGGGGCGGGGCGGAGCGGAACCAGGTCGCTTGACGCCGGGCGAGTGGGCGACTCGACTCGACTGTTGTCGGCAGTCACTCGATCTGCGCCGTCCCTCAGCGTCCAAGCGCCCAGCTCGTTTGGCTCGCATCAGGTGATAAAAGTACCAGCACAGCGGCCCAACTAAGCCCACGAGGCCAGTAGCCCAGTACACCTCGCAAGAGCACGCGCCGCCGATGTTTTCCTCGACGAGGTGGGCCGCTCGCGCCGCCGCCGCCGCCGCCGCTGCCGCGGCCGGTTCCTGATCTCTCGAGCTATGCGAGCGAGGACTACACGGCAAGGGTCACCAAGGGCAATCTGGTGTTTTTGGTTTTGGGTGCATGAATTTAGGAAGTTAAGAAAAAGAGGACAAATGGTATAGAAATCAATGTGTCAACGTACTATACATGGCGATTTTATGAAGCCCGTGAAAAAAAAATAACATTTTTGCGAAGCCGACTTTTAGCAATGGCAAATAGCTAATTTTCTCTAACTCAGCGTGTGATGATTGAATATCTGTCAATTTTGGGTTTGATTATTGTATATGAATTCAAGACATCTAGGTTCCTGTAATTATTATTATGTCGATTTGTAAACTCTGAATGGTAAAAGAGATGCTTCAGCATAACAAAAGAGTGTCAGCTTTGTGTATGTGAGAATGGGATGCAAAAAAGATGCATTGATAAACTCTGAATGGTAACAGAATGCATTGATAAATCATCACACGATTTTTTCATGTGGCAAGAAGCGTTCATACAGACTTGCAAAAGAAATGAATCATCACATGATCTTTCTTGTGTGTCTACGGTAGTGAACTCCGTGCCAACTTGAGGTAACAAATAGCAAACCCTCCCTAGCTACAAGTTTTAAACTCTAGAACTAAAAATAGAGCCTCTGTCCTGTGAAGTAATTAATCTGATCCCATGAAGAAAATAAACAGTCATGGTACGCACCGATTTTCTTCCATCTTAATATACAGATTTTTCTTTTATGCGAACAAAAAGCCTGAAATTTTTATTTTTTAACCTTTTTTCGAAGAATATCCATATTTATACCTTTGGATGTCTTAATTGCTATCACGCTATCAACAACGCTTATCTTGCGGTCTATACTAAATAAAAATTAAACTCTGATGAAATCACACACTAGTTTTAGGCTGGCACATTTATTTGTGCATGCATATTATTGGCTGATAATAAACGTACCGAGATACATACACCGATATGTAAAGGAACTTAACTATCGCCTTGTTTAGATTCCAAGTTTTTTCACTCTCTCTCTATCACATTAAATTTTTGGACACATACATGGAATATTAAATATAGATAAAAAAAATAACTAATTACACAGTTTGATTATAAATTACGAGACGAATCTTTTAAGCCTAGTTAGACCATAATTGGACAATAATTGTCAAATACAAACGAATGTACTACAGTGCTAAATATTGATTTCCAACCTGTATCTAAACAAGGCCTATGGTGAGAAGACACGGACACTAGGCTGTCTATCAGAAGACACCCTTGCTCTGGTCGACCTTTTACACGCTTTAATCGGTATTGGTAGGAAGCAGCCAGAACGCACCAGATGACAACTTTGCAAGATCTTCGGAAGGATGGAAGCACACCCTTTCGGTCCTCTCAGCTATGCTGAATACATGCATCAAGTTGTCGCAGGGGTGAATCATGTAGACACAGTCATGCTCCAGCCCACACTTGGAGGCCGTGCAGCATCCTCCACCATACCCACACCACAGCAACGCTCGGTCACCGTCACGGATCCCATCTACCTCGCACCACCGCTGCCTTCCTACGTCCATCCTGTAGAGAGCGATGCCAGTAGTGACCGCTGGGTCCTCATAGTAACACGCAAGGAACTGGTAGTGCTCGCCGTCCATCTCGAAACGGCAGGCATGAGAGCACCACCCCCAGGGGTTGGGCGGCACGACCCATGGCAGGCCGCCCATCGCCACGACGCGGGTGCCCGGGTGCGGGTCGAACTCGAGGATGCCGTGCTCTTGCATCGTCCTGGGGAAGTAGAATCTGCCCTGGCATGCCGTGAGATGCTTTATAACGATCTTCCTCCACACCAGCCCTTCGATCAGCGTCGCATTTTTTCTGCGTCCCCAAGTCGTACTCGTACTTGATCCACTCGGCAGCAGCATCGTTCTCGTTCTCGCCGCCGACGGCACGGCAGTACCAAAGTGTCGTCTGGTCAGGCTGAAGCACGACCACTACTGTGCATCCGTCGGTTTGTCCGCCGACAATGCGGCCCTGAAATTTCTTGGCAGTTGATGGTTGTCGTCGAAACGTGGCAGCTCGATCTTATCACAGGTGTAAGGGTCGTAGAGAAAGGCTCGGCGATTATCTTCTTGTTCTGAACATAGAGATAATGGCTCTGTACGTTTGAACTTATTCAGAACTACTTTTCAGTTATGGAATAATATTTTTTTTCACAATGTTTCAGTATTAGCATCGGCATAAATCAAATTTCAGCATCACCGAACAGGGTGAATATCCACCCTTGACAGGTGGCTGCAAATCTCATGCTACCCCTTAGCGCCTCAAAGTCGCGTGTAAGGCGCTCGCCATTGGAGTCTAGCAAAATGGTGTGTTCATCTTTAGTAATCGCATTGGGATCGGTGGCGGCGATGAACGGCACCATGGGCAGTACATGGCTCGACGACGACATCAGGCATGTTCGCTTGAACTTATCAGCCGTCTTATCAGCTAAAAATCTATAGTATTTTCTCTTACACCAAATCACCTTCAACCGGCTTATCAGCTGACTTTAATACCAGCCGAGCAGACTCATTATTTGCTCCTCGTCGAGCGGTGTTGGTGTATCATCAGTCCACAGTCTCACCGGTATAATAGTCGAGACTGGAACTTTATATATAGTTTTATATTTTATAAAGGTCTATATATATTTTGTAAAAACAAAGAGACCTCTCTCGGGTTCTTAAATAAATAGACAGGCGGATAAAGGAATATATAATCTTCCTCATCGACTTGGATTTTGGAGTGTTACAGCAGTATACTACTACCTGCGTTCCGTATCTGACAAGTCACAAACGCAGTACAGCGCTTAACACGAAGACGGACACAAAACGACCGGCCGGCAAGAAGTCTAGAACCTTCTACTGGCTCTTGCAGGCTCACAGTCCTGAGTCCTGACATGGAGGCCCCACCCGCCCCCAGGCCGTTCTGTTCTGACCCCACAGCACGCAAGGAATCACGGCCATCCATCCCTGTCGCACTCGCACAGCCATGTCCGCCGTTAAATCGCGTCTCCCCACCAAAGTCATTATTCCTCCCGTCCCGTCTGCCGTCTGGGTGTGCGTGTGGTGCGTTGGCGTTGCCTTCTTCCTCCTCGCACACGCCAGGGCCAGGCACGAGACCAACACCACCCCCAGCGCACGCACTCCAAATAGGGGCGAGCCGAAGGGGGCCGAGGCCACCAGTCCTCCACCTCTCCTCCGCCGCGTCGCTCGCGCTCCACGCACGCCGAGAGCCGAATCGGAGCCGCGAGGCAGCCGCCCCGGGCGGATCGACCCCAGGGCCAGGGCATGGGCGGAGGGGACGCCGACGCCGGCGGCGAGCCCGCGGCCTCGCAGGCCACGCTGCACATCCGGTGCACCAACGGCTCCAAGTTCGCCGTGCGGGCCGACCTGGGCACCACCGTCGGGGCGTTCAAGGCGATCGTCGCCGAGAGCTGCGACGTGCCGGCGCCGCAGCAGCGGCTGATCTACAAGGGCCGGATCTTGAAGGACGACCAAACCCTAGGCAGCTACGGTGCGTGCTTTCCCCTATCCTCTCCTGAGAGTGCTCTACCCTTGGTGGTGCGTGGTTTCCCCCTATCCTCTCCTGAGAGTGCTCTACCCTTGGGGGTGCGTGGTTTCCCCTGTTACGCTGTGGACTGTGGTCGATTTCGTTAGTCATGCGTGCGAGCTGCGATGTTGCACTCTCGATTCTCCCTTGCTGGTGTGCTAGATGCAATGTCTGTTAATATATTTGCTGCCGGCAGGACAAGGGATTTATTCCTTGGCGTTGATGGTCATGGATGATTCCGTACATTCGGAATGCTCCGTGGTAGATGCAGCATGTAGGCTTAGCGCAAGGAGACTTGCAGGGTCGTTGATAGTTCTATGGTAGCAAAGATGGAGCAGGAGAGAAATACATGCTGCTTTGATGCCTTGACGTGAATGTAGTTCTGAATATGCTGAAGCCATGCAAGCCTTGTGTGTACTGCACCCCTTGCTGCTTAGGGTAGTAGAGTTTATCAGCAGGTGAGTGAAACTTTTGCATTTCATACTGTATATATGCTGATATCACGATCGTATCTGTGACTTGGAAGGATCATCATTTCCATTTTGAGTTCTTACCCATAGTTGAAGTTCGTTGGTAATGGACGCATCTTGTCAACCATTTTTATTGTGATCCACGTGTCAGCCGTAAGCATTAGCAGTTACTATTGTCGTCTTTTAGATGTCAACATGAACCATCCCTTCTATTTAGGGGGCATTGTCCACGTGTTTAATCTCCGTTACAGAATGGTTCTAGATGAAATGGAAAGATATGTCTAAAAGATATCACAGAGTCTCGGTGCTTTACAGATTTGATCCATGCCCATCGAAATTTTTTTGCACACAACCTATTTTTATCTGCACCGGCAATTACCTGATCATATTTAAATGGTTGATCTTGATGTTACCTTTATACATCACGCTCTTTATGTCAACATTTAAAACTTACGAAGAGAGAACTTGTCTATTTTTCATACAGCAGGTTTAGAAGCGTTTGATCTTGTACATCAGACATATTGTTGTTTTGTTTTCTGTTAACACAATAGATAACGTAGGGGTTTCATGTTGCATTTTTGATTCACCAACAATTCGTGTGCCTGTGTAAGTTCAATAAACCAGCAGTTTGAATGTTATGTAGAATTCTCATTTGTCAAAGCTGAGGTAGACTGTTGCCACTTGTCAAATAGTACTAGCCAAACGTGAAACTTAAATTTGTTTATTATGCATAACTGAGTTCTTTGGTAGAACATCAAATATCAATAGTGAGAGCCCATGGGGATTCTATGGAGACCTTTTTTGTGTTTTTATTTATGCCTATTTGATTTTGATCTCACTTACAAAGGAACTTTATGCTACCAGTTATCACCAATTAGAAATCAAAGACATTCTGAATTTTGTTTATTTTGGTGATGGAAACACTTTCGTGTCTGAATTGTAACATTTTTTATATTTTGATTTGGCAAGCTGTTGCGTGATCTAGGAACTTCACCTATCAGTGTGTTCCCTTATTCTGTTTTCGTTCTCTCTTGTAACCTTATATTGTCTCTTTATGAAGGTGTGGAGACAGACCATACAATCCACATGGTACGTGGTGCTGCGCCACCACCAGCATCTACTGCACCTGCAGCCAACCAAGAACCTACCACTGCTGCTCCTGCCAGTTCCCCAGCAGCAGGATTGGGTGGCTTGTTGCAAAGTCTGGGTGCTACAGGGGCTGCTGCTAACAGTGGGGGGTCGGGTTTGTTTGGATCTGGCCTCCCTGAGTTAGACCAGATGCAACAACAGCTAGCTGAAAATCCGAACTTGATGAGGGAAATAATGAATATGCCACTCATGCAGAATTTGATGAACAGTCCTGAACTCATACGCAGTATAATAATGAACAATCCTCAAATGCGTGAGCTCATTGATCGCAATCCAGATCTTGCTCATGTCCTCAATGATCCAAGCATCATGCGTCAGACTATTGAAGCAGTTCGGAATCCTGAACTCATGAGGGAGATGATGCGGAACACAGACAGAGCCATGAGCAACATTGAATCTTCTCCAGAAGGATTCAACATGCTCCGTCGCATGTATGAAACTGTCCAAGAGCCTTTTCTGAATGCAACAACGATGGGTAGCGAGGGTGATCGAAACTCGAATCCATTTGCTGCTCTTCTAGGAAATCAGGGGTCTAACCAAGCAAGAGACTCAGCTGCAAATGGAACAACTACAGCTTCAGACACCACATCAGGGGCTCCAGCTCCAAATACTAATCCACTTCCGAATCCTTGGGGCCCAAATGGTAAGTTTTGGATATTCATTTTTTTTTCATGTTGGTAGTTGTGTGTATCTTTGTTCTAAGTCTTAAAATCAACAGCTGGCTCTGCCCAAGGAGCAGCAAGGTCCCCTCCTGCTAGCAACACTAGGAGTACTACAGCAGGTGGCCTAGGAGGGTTGGGTTCAGCAGATTTGGGAAGTATGCTTGGTGCCAGTGGTGGTGGCTCTGATGCTACCTTCTTGACTCAGGTTTTGCAAAACCCAACTATGATGCAGATGATGCAGAACATTATGTCTAATCCTCAGTCCATGAATCAGGTATGATGCTTGAAGTACTTCTGTTGTGAAATATTTGATAAAGTGCATATTTCTTGTCCTGCTTATACATAGAGTTCTGATACCCTGTTAATGCAGCTGCTTAATATGAATCCAAATGTACGTAACATGATGGAATCCAATACTCAAATGAGAGAAATGATTCAGAATCCAGAATTTCTTCACCAGTTGACGTCTCCTGAAACATTGCAGGTGATCAATCATACTGCTCTAGCTACATGTGCATCAAAAATACTAAATGTTCTTTCTTTCTTTTGCAGCAATTGATTTCATTCCAGCAGTCTTTGATGTCACAACTTGGCCAACAACAAGCTGGACAGTGAGCATTTCAATTTTGATTTCACCTTTTTTTAATGAGAAATGGATTTTTTTTTTTCATTTGTTCTTATATCGCAATCTCTTGCTTTGTTTACCAACTGCCTTTTGAATTCTTTTTGTTGTTTGATGATCCAGGGTGCGGACACAATCAGGCTCTGGTGCAGGTATCTCCTGAATTTACTATCTGCAGTTTCAAATGGACTTGCCTAGAATTTATTTGCACTAGGACTTGTTGATGTTTGTTTCTTTACATTCTGTATGGATAAACCACAAGATCACTTTGAGCATTGCTTCCAAAGGTCATTTAAATATTTATCTTGACTGAAAATTTCCACACGAGAGTAGTAATATTCTTTGACCAAGTGACTATACTAGGAAGAAGCCTGTGGTTTTCCTGATTTTTGAGCCAATTCAACTCTGTTAGGGTCCCAAGTCTTTGCCAGAACTTGATTTAATTAAACTTGTTTAGATAGTTGACTGCCTTTCTAAGTGGATTTACATATGCCCTTGCTTATTTAACAACTTTTGGAAAACTTGAATCCTAGGCAATGTCAACCTCAACACCTTGATGAACATGTTCAGCGGGCTTGGTGCTGGTGGTGGCCTAGGTGTTCCAAATGCTCCTAATGGTTAGTACATAGTCTGTTCTGTTAATGGAGAAATTAATCCTGCAGTTCCACTAAGTATAATCTCTTGAAGCTTTTCTTTGGATGATTTTTAAAGCCTTCTCATCAACAAAGTAATGTCAAAATTTGCAGTGCCACCAGAAGAACTGTATGCAACACAATTAGCTCAGCTCCAAGAAATGGGTTTCTTTGACACACAGGAGAACATCCGAGCCTTGGCCGCTACCGCTGGAAATGTTCATGCTGCAGTGGAGCGACTTCTTGGAAATATGGGCCAATAGAATATGATGATGATCATAACTGTACTCTGATCATGTGATCTGTAGTTGGCATTGTGAGATCCTGTCTGGTTCATTGGTTTTACACCTGAAATTGAGAGGCGACATCTAGATTTTGTGTTTAAGGATGAATAAAGAGTGTACCGGTGGAACCTTTCTTATACATGTGGTCTGGTGTCATGGTTAAAATTGTTGTTATTGTTACATTGGGTTGCTGCACATACATATTGATCTTTTGCAATCTTATTTGCAATGTACATGGATAATGTTTTCTGTACAAGGGGGTTGGGGAGGGAATATGACAATATGTAGTGCAAACCATGAGAACTCATAAAAAAACTGTATTTCGATTGCTCAAAAAAATATGAGATGCATCCATATTCCATAGATGTATTTTGTTGCAAATAGATGGGATTCCCTCAATTTTAAAAATATGAAATAATAAAATTCAGTGAATTATTTGATTTTTCATTTTTTTTAAATGAAAAACGAGTTTGAATTCTAACTTTTACGACAAAAGCACATCTATGCCTTTTGAATGTGCATCTCTTCATTTTTTTTGAGCCACAGAAATGTGTTTTTTTAATTGACGTTGCATGTTTGCACCAAAGAGGCAAGAGATGGGTTCGCTCTACATATTTCCCCCTTGTCTCAACCAGTCGTCACTATTGCCTACTGGAGATGGCCAAAGTTCTGGTTCATCAACAAAATCCTGTGGGCATGTCAAAAAAAAATTCCTGTGGGTGCGCCATGTTTGTTAATTTACTTAATACTCCCACTTAATTATCACATTCATTACTGGGATCATTCGAATACGACTGAAGGTGATTTTCTTCTGGTGCTGGGTGCTTTTGAGGATTGACGGCTTGGGTGGCTGTGAGTCTGTGAATATATATGATCCCGGCTACACCCTCGAACCGATCCTGGCCGTCCACTGCGACAATGCCATGCGATCCATCCGTCCACTCGGCCCAGTAAAAAGCGCCCGAGGAGCTGCCCATATAAACCCTTCTCTCCTCCCTTCGCCCTCAGCCTCTCGCGGCCGCCAGGAGAAGCCGCCGCCGCCGCCGCCGCCGCTGCCGCGTCCGCAGCCACAGCAGGCGACCGAGATGGTAAGATCCCCAAACCATCCTCTCCGTTCGTGCTTCTCCAGTGGATTGCTGCGCCTGTGCCTTTGCATCTAGCGTATGGTTGGGTGGATATTTTCACTAATCACTAGGGGGGAGTTGGGGCATCTAGGCAAGCCTTTTTGGGGGTAGGGCGTCCTCGTCGACCAGGGACTAGGGGCTCCTGCGGGATGGGCACGTAGGACGCCTCGGGGAGCTTCTTGAAGGCGGCGACGGCGTCATGTATGGTGCGATGCCTGTGCCTGTGCTGCAGGCGAGTCCCAGTACCCCTGATGTAGGCTTTGGCACATAACAAGTGGAAACAGACTAAATGCCAACACATTCCCTTGCACTCTTATTCAGTTAATTCTGTAATGTTGATGACACTAAACAAGTGAAAATTCATGGTGCCTTGGGAATGCATCCATCATCTTATTCATGGAATGGATTCAGTAAGGTGATTGTGCAATATGATTGCACCATGCCAATTTCCGCTCTAAAGCAAGCATATTGCAATAGGAGAGAATGTGGCATATTCTTTGTGGCTAAAAAAAAATCCATGACAGGGCGACAATTTAGGCTTCTAAGTTTTAGGCAAATCTTTATATGTGTCACCACTGTCTTCTCGACATGTGTACCTGTTAGCCTTAGGATGAGTAACATATTGTACAGCAGCATGGTCTATGCTTAGTCTATAAGTATCCATTGCTTCCTCTAGTAAAGGCAGCCTGTCTTACCATTTTCTAATCTAGAGCCACCCTTGTTCCACCATTGATCCACCTGGAGAGGAAGGCATGGTGTCCTAGGCATTGTATGGTAGCAAATAATTGTGCTCAAATATTCACTAGCATTTGTTCGCCACTGAGTTGAGTGAACACCGTGACAAGGCGAGCCTTGTGGCAACTGGTGACCTAATGTTGTTGTTTGTATTGAACTGAGATTGATGGTACTAGATTTGGTATGCTTTATTATTTTCTTATCAAATGCACTAGACTGGTTGTGGGCTTTATGGGATTAAAATGGATGTTCGCAAAAATATTCTTTGGGCAAAGGGAGGGCATCTGACCCTTCCAGCCAAAGGACGCACTGCTTCTAGCTAGGTCATTTGATCCGGTGATTAGTGCATCTGCTATCTAGTATATTTGTGGTTTCATGTTCGTGTGGCGGGGACATTTATAGGATGGCTAGGGTTCGTGAGAGGAAGACAAGGGACTTCAACCAAGTTAAGTGCATTAAGGATGAAAGGGAGCATCTCTTGGTGAAGGAGGATGAGATCCGACATCGATGGCTAGAGTATTTTGACAAATTGTTCAATTGTGAGAATACGGACACAACCTTTCAGTTGGATGACTCTTTTGATGACACCAATAGGCGCTTTGTGCGAGGAATCCAAGAATCTGAGGTCAGAGAGGCGTTGAAAAGGATGAAAGGAGGTAAGGCGATGGGACCGGATGGTATCCCAATCGAGGTGTGGAGATGCCTCGGGGACATAGCTATAGTATGGCTAACCAAGCTGTTCAACCATATTTTTCGATCGAACAAGATGCCTGACGAGTGGAGGAGAAATATATTGGTACCGATCTACAAGAATAAATGGGATATTCAAAGTTGTACTAATTACCAGGGAATTAAGTTGATGAGCCATACTATGAAGCTATGGAAGAGAGTTATCGAGCATCGCTTGAGAGCAATAACGCGGGTCTCTAAACCAATTTGGTTTCATGCCCGGAAGGTCAACCATGGAAGCCATTTTCTTAATAAGACAAGTTATGGAGCGGTATAGGGAGAAGAAGGACCTACACATGGTTTTTATTGACTTGGAGAAGCCTTATGATAAAATACCAAGGAGTTATGTGGTGGGCTTTGGACAAACATAAAGTCCCAAAGAAGTACGTCGGGCTCATTAAGGACATGTACAACAATGTTGTGACTAGTGTTCGAACAAGTGATGGAGACACGGATGACTTCCCGATTAGGATATGACTACATTAAGGGTCAGCTTTGAGCCCTTATCTGTTTGCCTTAGTGATGGATGAGGTCACGAGGGACATATAAGGGGACATCCTTTGGTGTATGCTTTTCGTGGACGATGTAGTGCTAGTTGATGAAAGCCGGACAAGAGTGAATCAGAAACAGGAGTTATGGCGGGAGACTTTGGAGTCTAAATGTTTTAGACTCAGTAGAACTAAAACTGAGTATATGAGATGTGACTTCGACACTACTACTCGGGAGGAGGAAGATATTAGTTTAGAAGGTCAAGTAGTGCCTAGGAAGGATACTTTCGATATTTAGAATCAATGCTACAGAGAGACGGGGATATTGATGAAGATGTTAGCCATAGAATCAAAGCAGGGTGGATGAAGTGGCGCCAAGCATCTGGTGTCCTATGTGACAAAAGGGTATCACAGAAGTTAAAAGGCAAGTTTTATAGGACGACGATTAGACCTGCTATGTTGTATGGTGCAGAATGCTGGCCTACGAAAAGACGACATGTTCAACAGATAAGTGTCGCGGAAATGCGTATGTTGCGTTGGATTTGCGGTCATACAAGAAGGGATCGAGTTCGGAACGATGATATACGTGATAGATTAGGGGTAACACCAATTGAAGAAAAGCTTGTCCAACACCGGTTGAGATGGTTTGGACATGTCCAACGGAGACCTCCAGAGGCACCGGTGCGTAGTGGAATCCTAAGCCAGGATAGTAACATGAAGAGAGGCAGAGGAAGACCGAAGTTGACTTGGGTAGAGGCAATAAAAGGAGACTTGAAATGATGGAATATACCCAAAGACTTAGCCTTAGATAGGAGTGCTTGAAAAACAGCTATTCACGTGCCTGAACCTTGATTGCTTCTGCTGGGTTTCAACTCTAGCCTACCCCAATTTGTTTGGGACTTAAAGGCATTGTTGTTGTTGTTGTTGTTGTTGTTGTTGTTGCATGTTCGTGTGGCGGGGAGCTAATGTTGAGTGCGTGTTACACCATTTTTTAAACTGTTTGTGAGTGTTTATGAGTCTCATTTCCTGGTTTGATTAGGATTTGAATTGCTTAGATTGTTAGGTTTAGTAGGTCTGCACTTAGAGTGAGTAGCCTGTGATGACTTTGGTTGATGTTTTGTAAATATTTGTTGATAGACATTGCAGTGCCATTAGACTTATCTTCAGTAAGGGAGCACTGGTTCCTAGAACATGTCAGTACGATGCTTTTGTCATCTATATTGTAAACTCAGCTGTGTGACTATTGATAAAGACATGTTTGGCTGTTTGCTGCTTGGTTTGTGTGTTTGATCTACTATCAGTCACTTACTGTATATGTTTGATGGCAACTTAGAGAAGTCCCTTGTATGGATGAGTGATAGTTTTTTCTCATATTCAATTGCACCTGTGTGTTCATGTGCTTTCTGGTTATTTCTCCAGGGGGGGTTCGTCAAGACCCAGAAGACCAATGCGTACTCCAAGCGTTTCCAAGTGAAGTTCAAGAGAAGGCGCGGTATGTTTTGTTTGCTCTCTCAATGGTTTTGTTATTTTTTGCTTTTTGCTGTGTGTTTGATAGTATACATTTTTATTGTTCTTGTTTGCAGCTGGTAAGACAGACTACAGGGCAAGGATAAGGTTGATTAACCAAGATAAGAACAAGTACAATACACCCAAATACCGATTTGTTGTGCGATTTGTATCCTTCAAATTTATTATTTCTGTGCTTTGATTATCTTTTTTCTGCATATTATTTTGGCACATTGAGCATTGGAGGCATTGTATCTCTTAATAAATCTCCTTAGACCAACAAGGACATCACTGCACAAATCGTATCTGCAAGTATCGCGGGTGATATGGTTCTTGCTGCTGCCTATTCGCATGAGCTGCCACGATACGGTCTAGAAGTTGGTCTGACCAACTATTC